TTGAATTATACCTGGCTGAGCAATGTCAGGACTGTGTAGTTCTACACAATGTTAGCTTTCTATGGCTTCAGTGGACACCAACATGCAAATAAAATTGGAACATGCTGCACTTATACGCAGCAAGACTTGACATGCTTTAACAGATCATAATGCACTGCAGTGCATTGAATTACATAGTTTAAAAAAAACAAGCACTGTAATGCATTTTAGCAGCACATTGAAGAACTCCACAGTGCCCACTCACTTTGCAGGGAGTAGATTCTGTCTTCTTTACAGTTACTGTGTTTCCTAGATTGTGTTCATAGTTTTCTTTTTTGCCTTGGATTGCCTACTTTTTCTTCACAATCTTGCACCATGATAATCTGCATTATCATACATGTTTATCATATACTGAATGCAGATGTTGCCTCCAAGGTCACTAAATGTCCTAATCACTGTCACAATAGTTCAGGTTGGAGAAAACTGGAGTACCTTTGTCAATTGGGGAAGAACCTATGAAATCCATCCTAACAGTGTCTCTCATGAACCTTTGTCAATTGGGGAAGAACCTATGAAATCCATCCTAACAGTGTCTCTCATGAAAACAGACTCAAGTCCCCTTTAGGTTTATAGTGAAGAATCAGTTACCATTTTACTTTTTTGTTTAGCTGTTTTGGACTATAAAGACCTGGCATACAAAAATACAGTTAATAATTTACTAATTTGTTCATAGACAGACAAAATGCAAGAGGCGCAATTTCATTAAATATGAAAATACTTCTTGTAAAATTCACTGCGTTATTCTTTATGTTTCAACATTTAATACAACCTTTATTATCTCGGAGTGCCAGAGTTGGGTGGGTACTATATTCTTACTGTGCTGTCACTTTCGGTTTCAGGTAGCACCAGGTCATACCGCCCAAGTGAAAAAGAACATTTTTTGTACATAGCCGATAGGTAAATGACATTTATCATTTAGTCTGTAAATAATTCATGAGCAACAATGGTTTGTGAAACCTACTGTTGTTTTATTTCTAATTTATGTTCTCTATTCTAGCTTCTGGAGATACCAATTGAGCAATTAAGGGCCTGAAATAAAAATGTAGTGCAAAAAAATAGTACTTGTATTTATACAGATCTTAATATTAGACCAGTGGTCTCCACACTGTGGCCTTTTGCTTGCCTTTATCTGGCACCTGGAACACTTTTCCTCCCACTGACACCAACAATGGGGCATAATTCCTGCTACTGACACCAACAATGGGGCACTATTCCTCCCACTGACACCAATGTTGGGGCACTTTTTCTTCCACTGACACAAACAGGGCTCTATTCCTCCCACTAACACCAACGAGGCACTATTCATCCCACTGACAGTAGCGATGGGGCACTAGAACCTCCCCCCTAATACCAAAGATGCATTGTTTATTTCCACTGATGCCAGTACAATATCCACTCTCAATGGCCACAGCCTGGCCCCCCCAAAGGTCTGAAGTACAGTAAACTGGCCCTTTGGTGAGAAAGATTGGAGACCCCTGTATTAGACCAAAAGAAGGACCTCTGAGGAAGAAAGGGGCACTGGAATTTTGGGTCAAAAAAGGGTATGTTGGGAGCTATGCTTGACCATGTGGTCTGTAGTTGCACCATTGTTGTGTTTCTGAGGTCTGCTAGCATTGGAACCTTATATGTATATATGTTGGCTTATTTTGTTCCTGGGAAAATCTACAATAAAGCACAATTTAATGTTTCCTCTTGCCTGGATTTACCAATAACTGATTCTACAAAATTGCCAGATTACACAGCATGTTAATACCCCAACTCAACAACTAATTTCTCATATAAGTTCCATCTTCCTTCAAAGTTTTTCAAACTTTAACTTTGAAACCCCCATTTATATCCATTTCCATGTTTGCCTTGAGTTAATTCTATAAGTTCTCAAGCATGGAGCTGGTGGAGGGATGTCAATTCCTCTTCTTTAGCTTTACTCCACTTTTTCTTCTTGGGTAGCTTTTGGCTCTCTTCCCATGACACAGGCTCAGGTTGTGGCACTTTCTGAACAAATCATATATGACAAGCGTCTAGTTGGGAAGTTCTTATTGGATCTTGTAGATTTTCTGACTGAGGTTGCAGACAACTCACCTTTTTCAGAGGATAAATCATTGATGCCAATTTCAGTGTCTGAAATGTTCTGTTACTTTTCCTGCAGTACTGTTGGGGCTTCTTGCTCAGATTGTTGTGCAGATGGTGATGACTGTTAATTCATGAGGCTTTTGACACAAAGGTGTTTAATTAATAATTACACTTCTCCTGGTCATTACCTTATTGGTATCTGGAGGCAGAATTCTGGAACCCTTTTGGGATTCACTGTAGCTGACAAATACTTCTTCCTTAGAGCAAGGTTATGTTTTTGTTTAGAAACGTGTATGCATAATTGTGCTTCCAAAGATTTGGATGTGTTTCAGGTCAGGCTTCTTTCTATTCCAGAACTCATATTGAGTTTTTCCTGTTGCTTTTCCAGGTTACAGATTACAGGTACATTAGCCATTTTGGAGATAGCAGACTAACCTAATTGCCTCTCCCTAGTATATTTATGGCATATCAGCATCAAAAAGCATACTTCTGCCACTTTCACATAAAGTGTGACTCTTTCTTTTTGCAACACTATTTTGTCCTGGATTGAGTGGTACAGTAGCTTGGAACATAATTTCATGCTTCTTCATAATAGTTTGTTTATTACCAGTTGTAGACTGTGGGGTTGGTTTGCTAAAACTGGAGAGTGCAATATCTGGTGTAGCTGTGCATGGTGGCCAGTCAGGTTCCAGTTTTGTTTTTATCAAGCTGAAGTTAGAAGCTGATTGACTACTTTGCACAGCTGCACCAGATTTTGCACTCTCTGGTGTTAGTAAATCAATCACTGTGTGTTATTATCTGTGATATAACAAAAAGTTTTGAATGTTATATTTAACAGACAAAAGGAAGGAATTTGGGAAGTTCATTGTGTATACGGGATTTAAATCGGAACTAAATTGCATCGGAGCACCACAAACCAAAAGTGCTATTGAATTCATATTTAAAGCAGTTGTAAAGCATTAAAGTAAAAAAACTTCTATGGTCTGGTACCCCAGCCCCCCCCCCCATACTTAAGCCTGATCTTGATCCAGCAATGTTCATGAGAACAGCTTGGCTCCTCATCAGCTCAGAGACAGCAGTGCTGTCAATCACAGCCAGTGAGAAGAGGTGGGGGCTAGGCCAAGCTGAGCTCTGTGTGTAAATCAACATGGCTCAGGAGAGTATATGCGTGTCCCCATAGCAAGCGGCTTGATATGGGGGCTCCTGTGGGGGGGGGTTGCAGAGTGCCAGCGGGGGACCTGAGAAGAGGAAGATCGGGGCTGCTGTGTTCAAAACCATATGTATTTGCAAGGCATGGTATTCCAAGAGAGAAAGTTGAAGAACGCATGTCATTCTCAGCAGAGAGATATGTACTTTTGCTTAACAGTGGGAAATTTATCTCGTTCTCTGTTGTACTGGATTTCATAAAAGATTTCAAAAAGTCATTCAGAGCAAGTGTTGAATCAGTTTAAGAGGTTCAGCAGTCAGCAGAATTACCTGCATGGAAGAACTGAAGAGACCCAGGAAGACTTATTATTTTGATGTGACCATTGAAAAGTGATTTATAACTGTCATATTATAGTACAGCGTAGTACTTTTGGTTAAAAAGAAGATTACTCTTTTGTGCTGTTACTTGAACTATGAACTGCCTTGAAATCAGTCATTTCTGACTGGTTTCCTAAAGTTACTGAACTTAAGAACTTAAAGAACCTTTGTACTGAGAAATTTTGGAGGCTGCCATTGCTTTTCACTCTGAAAACTGAATTGATGGTCCCAGTATATTCTGAGCCTCTTAGCAAGTAAAGAGTTCTGACTCAACTCATTCTTTCTAATTTGCATGCTTTTTCTAGGTTGGTTTTGCAGAAAGTGTTGAGGTCAGAGAAAGACAGGAAAATGGCATTTTCAAGAGGTCAGGAATGACAGCCTCCATATTTCTCTCAGTACAGATTTCCTTTATGAATGGGTACTCTTTATTGAAAGAGGTTGAAGCTTTTTTTTAAACATTACTACTCATTCATATAATTCTTTGCATTAGGCAACACATTCTCATGATCATTTTAGGAAACTGTAATTTTAATACTATAGAAAGCCACTGACAGCTACACTATAAAGTGAAGGCATCCAGATATGCACGCACATCACTATGGCAGCTCTCAGTATCCTATCTTCACCTGAATGATGTGTGTTATGTTTAGGCTTGCCTTACCCCTCCTGTTTTCCAAAGAATCTTAATGGTGAGTAAAGGAGCACATCATAGTGATGGTCTAATAGGAGTGTGTGCTGGACTGTAGAGCTTGGTAGTAAGCTCCACTACAGCCCAGAATCGTCAGAGCTTTGCTTTATCAGAAGGACCTGGGACTCGGACAAAGTAGAGGGCACTGAAGGCTACCACATTTCCGAGTACTTGTACTTTAGATTTTAGTATCCTTTAATTGTCAGAGTCCCTTTAATGGTTTGTTGGGAAATGGATTCCCTTTAAATTGTTTCAAGCTTTTAGTTGAGAGCAATATGACCATCACCACTGCTGAAAAAAAATCTGCTTGCAAAGGAAAATTGTGCTCTCATGTTCTAAGGATAGAAGGGTAATTTAAACATTGTCCCTTTTCTTCTCTTTTGTAAAAATGGTTGGAAACACATTGGGGAATTTTATACTGATTCATAATTGTAGATGTTTGTTTTATTCATAGTCATCTTTTAAACTATTGCCTTCAGGAAATAGTGGATTTATCTCGGGAATACATTCAAATAAAAGTTGTGAATCTATTACTACTTTCATTTATATTTAGGTACTGAAGGGATTTCCAGAATGCCTGCAAGCTGATATTTGCCTGCACCTCAATCAAACATTGCTGCAGAACTGCAAAGCTTTCAGAGGAGCCAGCAAAGGATGTCTTCGAGCTTTGGCTATGAGGTTTAAAACTACCCATGCTCCCCCTGGAGATACTCTCGTGCACTCAGGAGATGTGCTTACTGCGTTGTACTTTCTGTCAAGAGGTTCTATTGAAATCCTTAAAGACGATATTGTTGTTGCAATATTAGGTGAGTTTTTGGTGTAAAATAAATTTAGGCTCATTGGTAGAGTTGCAGCAATTATGGGACCATGGGCAAGGGGGTTAATGCAGAACAAGATGCCTCCAGGGCAGTACTATGTGTGTTAGGCATTTGAACTTTCAGTTTTTATTAGCTAAATATAAGTTCATCAAAACACAAAGGTGTGCAAAGACTTACCATTCATTTTATTTAGAAAAAGGCAGCCACATTCTGAATACAAAAGCTTGTCCCCCACCATCATGTTACAGAGAAGGATTGTATGGAAGCAGTGGTCTTTCCACAGAGGTCTGACCCACACCTTACTGTGTCAGAGATAGAGTTCCCCAGTCAGCAGATTACAGATTACAGAGCTTTAGGTCTGACTCTGTAGTGGACATGTCAGCCCCTTAGAGGGAAACCATTACTTACACACAGAGAGTAATGGTCCTTCTCTACTGCATGCTGACTTTTCTACTCATACTATGGCTGTTTCTAAAGAAAACAAACTGTGAGACTTTGCACACCTTTTTGTTTTGAAGCACCTTTTATTTTAGCTCATTAAACCTGAACATTAAAACTGAACATTTAGTTAGTTGGATAGCATCTATCTGGATAGAAGCAAATGAAACTGCTGTAGGCAATGCCACTCAATACTGTAGGACCTGCCTGTTTGCATTAAATGGCAGGTCTGGATGTTTGAACAGGATGGTGTTCTTTAAAAGCTTTAGTTTCAACTGCGTAGTTTCATCTTTGAATAGGCAAAGGATGGGAGCTGTTTTTTACACACACCAACATTTACTGCAGTTATTTTGAATGTAAATATGTTTTCAATTATAAGGATGCCCTTGACCATTTTAGAAGAGTTTAAGATTCGGATCTCAGAACCTTTTTTTTGCCTTCCAACCAGTTCTCGTGGTATACATTTTACATTACATGAAGTCCATTCACCAGTGCTAGACTCCATCATCTCAGAACTATTGCTGCATCGACCTTTGTAGACACTTAGTAAACAGTGTGGTACTATGACTATTGTATTAGGAGGTATTTATTGGCCCATATACAGCACCACCAGAGATAAGATTTCTTTTTCTCTGTGCTTTATGTCTGTACTGTGTACATTTTTTACATATTGATCTTTCTTACATCAGGTAAAAATGATATTTTTGGAGAGATGGTTCACCTGTATGCTAAGCCTGGGAAGTCCAATGCTGATGTTCGAGCTCTGACCTACTGTGATCTTCATAAAATTCAGCGAGAGGACCTACTGGAAGTTTTGGACATGTATCCGGAATTCTCAGATCAGTTTCTCACAAATCTAGAGCTGACTTTTAATTTAAGAGATGAAAGCACAAAGGTTTGCAGAGTCATATTTAATACCTTTGAAACATTTTTAATTAGTATATGTAAATATTACGTTTGGTGCTTAGTGCACTTTATAGAATTCATAGGATGTTGTTTGTGATTTGGGCTGCTTATTTTTCTACCAGTCAGTGGTTGACTGATGACTAAAAAGAACTCATATACTTTTTGATGGCTTCTAATTACAGAAACTTCTTTCATCTACCTGTTACAAAATAGACAGGAGAATGAGCAATCTGGGACACATTGAATAGACTGAGAAAAGTTGCACCTTACCATAATGTGGGATTTGCAACAATTTTAGCTCCATGCTAGGATATATGTACGGAGGGTGCATATGGTGAGATTTCCACAGGGTCCATAAGGTTAGGTGACCAATAATGTCTGTTACTCCCTCTTATCAGCTGTGTGATAGCCTTGCTTTCTGTGCAGAATTAAACAGCATGTACAGTATTTTTCTTACCGTACTATCATTTTTTTCAGTCACGTTTCTGTTGCTTGAGTTTTTAGAACACTTTTTGAAAAAAAAATGTTTTTAAAAGTAGCATCCCAAGAGTCAAGTCCAGTGATGTACTGTATGAGAGGACCTCTGTTCAGAATCTACACCATGGCCATGTAGCTCTATTAGACATACCTCTGATTGCATGGTAACATTACACTGTCTGGACCAATGGTACCCTGAAAGGTAATCAACATGATGCAAACTCTGCATTGTATTTAAACTGTAGTATTTAAACTGTAGTCCATCCCAACTTAAAGATGAATTCCAGGTATGGTGATTTTTACATAGTTACCTTAGCCCCCTTGGACCAATGTACGTTTGCATGTGCTGTGGGATCCTTGTGGAAGCTGGAAATCACTGTAGTAGATCCCACTACTACAACGATCTCCACTAGCATCCAGGTCCTATGCCATTCAGGGAACACTTTCCTCAATAAAACAAAGCCTTCTCTGATTGGAAAAGGTGGAAAGGCAGGGTGAAGTTATGATTTCTGCCTCATCTAATCAGAAAACACTTTGCATTCATTGAGCAAATGGAAAGGGTTCTTCAAATGGCACCCACCCTGAGCATGTTCAGTTTGCAACTTCTCAGCACAGGACCTAGAAACAAGCAGCAATCACTGTAGTAGTGGTGGACGCTACAGTGATTTTCAGCTTCCAGGGGATCCCATGGGTATGCCACATACATACTTACATTGGTTCAGACTAGACCAATGTAACTATGTAAAAATTGCCTTACCTGGCATTCAGCTTTAAATATATCATAAGCTTTGCAGAAAGATAAAAGTTATCCAGGTAAGAGTCCCTCAGGCCCACTCCAGAGCTTGCTGTGAAAACTGATAAAGTCCCATAGTGCCAACTGCAGAGAGTTTTCAATAGTCCAAAAGTGATGTTTCTGTTCTAGGTGGACACTAGAGAGCTGACTTGCCCATGACTTCTGAGGCTCCAGTGGTAAAGTCTCTCTGTTGAACCTCCCAAATCTAGCAGGACATTGTGGCTCCTTTTAAAAAGGCTTTTACTACTTCTCAGATAGTGGTTTTCCATTAGCCCAGGGTTGGCAATCTGTTTAAATGAACAGGATTTTGGAAGCTAGACTGTTCTCTGGAAAACACGAGAAGTTTCAAGTTCATTGGTAGCCATGGAGCTGCCAAGGAGTTCATTTTAAACAGTTGCTTGGTGGGCTATGAACAGGGAAAACCTTGGTTTGTAGCAGCAGGAAAGCAATGGAGCTGCCAAGGAGTTCATTTTAAACAGTTGCTTGGTGGGGTATGGACAGGGAAAACCTTGGTTTTTAGCAGCAGGGAAGCGTGTGTGCTGTGTTTTACAGGTTTTCCACTTTCTATTTAAACATTTAAAACCCCTTTAAAATGTAATCTATGCTTTAGAAAAAAAAGCTCTGCTCCAGCCCCCTTGCCCTCCAGTTTATTTTAGATATCTTTGTGCCCCTCAGATGCAAGCAACCAGATCTTATCACTGTTGTGGCCCAAATAGGCAATGTTTATGTGGCTCAAATGAAGTAATCGAAGAAGTATTTATTGCCTTTACTGATACTTTAACATGAAGATCTGAGATAAAACCCTCTTCCATTGCTTACAGTAACATGTATGTTTTGTAAAACCAGGCTGAGCTGCTAAGAGCACATGTGGATTCTGACTTTGATGGAGAGAACTGCAAATTAAGAAGAAGGAGATTATCTTTTAAAGAAAAATCAGATGAAGGTAAGGGTTTGCTATATTTATTTTTTTTGAGTCAATTGTAAGGTTTATATATAGAGTATTCTGTTGTACTTTATTGACATAAAAAGATGTTAGTATCATATTTTTATTAGCATTTATAACCCTTATTTTTCTTCATCCCTTAGCATAATATATATTGTCTTTTGATCACATTTACACCTTATTTTACAACATTATTTCTCATTATTCCCAAAGCAAAAAAAAAAAAAAAGAGGCTGACCTGGAAAATACCAGCGTTAAATAGAAGTGTAAAAAATGGTAGAAACTAGCAAAAATGTGAAGAGAAGTGCAGATGTAAAAGGGATTTTTTATCCATTTGAAATTGGACAAAACAAGACTAAACTGTCAAAAAGACCTTCTAAATTGTAAAGAGAAAACAAGAAAAATGACTTAGGCTAGGTCCACACTTGTGCAGTTTGGGACCGCTCACTAAATTGCGTGTGTCTGACCCACAGGCAAAACTGCACTTTAGCAGACTCATGGTGTGCCATTAATGCTTAATGGCACTCCCACGCATAAGAAATTGTGGTGCATTTTCATGCGCACCAAATCGCATGGTGTTAAAAAAAAAAGAGGCAGGAACTTCTTTCCCTATGTTTCTGCAGGTAGGGCATCCCATTGAAATGAATGGGCTGCTTACACGCAAAATGCAGGTAAAAGACAGGTGAACCCACTGCCAAGGTCTGTTTATCAATCTTTTCACTTTTTCCCTCAAGATTCACACATTTTTCTAACTCAACCTATGGCAAATGTGTGAACCTTTTGTTGAGAAAACTGATACATAGACACCCTAATGATTTGATGGCATTTACCTACAGTTTCTTTCTTGTTGCTAGAATATTATGAAAATTAGTGATAAAAACTAGTACTAAAATTGTTGTAGTGTGCTTAACAAACACATGAAATGTCAGGTTTAATTTCAGTTGTATGGAATCTATGTAAATGTTCCATTTAGGTGATTTTAAGGCAAATATTTATTTTGCCCACTCAGGGCCAATTTCAAGCACCCTCCAATTTGTACTTGTACTACACGTATTTCTAGCTTTTGTGGGGATGCCCGGGCATCACACAGACATACTTACATTGGTCCCAGATTGAGTGAGGATTCTCCCATCATGCCCAAAAGACAGTTCTTGAGGCTGGTGATTGGTTGCTTAGATTCCCAACCTAGCATTGTAGGAAATATGGGAGAGAATCACATACTCCCCTATGACCAGTAAATTCTGGGATATTCTCAGGGCTCCAGTGACCGATAGGAATGGTGAGGGAGCAAGTGGAAAGCAGAAGGTCTCTTACATACCAAACCTATATTTTGCCCAATTAGGCAAAATTATGGAATCAGATCTCTTGAATTTGATGAAAGCAGGCATCTGGCGAGGGACTCCTTCCCTTTTAATAAAATCAAGGGAGCTATTTGTATTCCACATTAATGGAAGCTATGGTCTAGTATCTGAAGCCATGCATGCATTCCATGTACAGTCCAGTGAATTGTAGTCACCATTCATTATCTATTTTAATTTCCCCCACATTTTACCACATTCTAGGCATGTGAAATCTGTCCACCGTAGTTTTTAAAACGAGGAACTGCAGCATGTGTTCTGTCACTTTCCATAATCTTTTCCATCCTTTCACTGGACCGCTAAGAAAAGAGCTTAATTAACAACCTGCTTGGTCCAGTGGCTGACCTTTCCCTGGCAAATGTAATGATACAGTGGAGATAGATTTCAGATGGCATAGCCTGCAGCCTGTTCAGTTTGCTGGCAAAGCCAGAGACACCTATTATGATGGAACAAGAATAAGGCACCTGCATGCAATTAGCTACTGAACATAATTGTAGTGTACGTACAGCTGTCTGGTGGAATCCATGTGGAAACATTCATTTCAAGGCAGATTTGTGATTTCTTTAAAGGGGATATAGAGTGGTTTTGCACATATTCTCTTTATTCATTATGATCAGGACTAAGCAAATGATATATACATGTAGCACCCTCCTAGAATAGGTTGCTAGAGAGGTTAAAGCGGTAGTAAACCTCCAGCAAAAAAAAAAAAAATTGGGTCCCCCATTGGTTTATCCCATAATGTGCTTTTTGCACCACGTACTAGCACATTATGACACACTTACCTGCACACAAGCCCACACAATTGCTAGATGACCAAACAATATCCATTCAAACATGTGTTACCCCACTCCATGTTCAAATAAAGGCTTACCAGATATATCTGACCATCATATTATAGAGTGGTCAAAATCAGTTCAAAGATGACGATTAGCATCCAATCAAGACTTCTCCATATCATCCAAATATGGCTCAGATGTCGTTCATCCACTCCGTATAGACCATCAATGCATTCGTTGCCAGGCATTAAAGGTGGCATGTGCATAAAATGAAAAAGCTTCCCATAGTGTAAAACCATCTAAAACAATTTATTGAAACATAAAAGTGCACTTACAAATTCCAATATCAATACAGCGCTGTGTCTTGGACTAGGTCACTTTCAGACCATTTACCGTGATCTACCAGTGAGCCAAATTAATGTGAGAATATGTGCACGTGGAAGTAAGACACTGACACTTTGCAGTTTGCCAACTTCCTAAAATTCTGTTTTATTGAGGAACTAACAGTATCATTTATAGGTCTTATGATGCAGGCAAAGCATATACATTGATTGGGTGAAAAGTCCACTGGGTTTCTGCGTGTTCTTCCATCCGTGTTGATATCTTCCAATCATTTTCCCCAAAAAGACTCATTCCCTTTTATGGGGGTTGTTTACATTAAAAGATACTTTTCTCCCAATGAGTCACCAAGGGTGAGACTCCGGATGAAGGCGCCATCTTAATTATAGTTAGAACAATCCACGCGTTCCCAGATGGCTGCGAGCATACACACATGCATAGTGACGAACACGCAAGCTCCAGCTGATGCATTTCCTCATAAGTGACGTCATCAGGGGTCCTGTGAGGGACATTGTGAGTATAGGCCGGAGTGAGAGATCCTAGCGACCGTTGCTGCCTAACCCTTTGAGCATCAACCCAGAGATGCTGATTTAGGACTGCTCCTGTGCTTGGAGTCCCCTGAGTTGTTTGTTCGCCTATTGCTAGTCCAGAAGGAAGTTACCCTCAAGAGTTTAGTTAAGCCAGAGAGTGTCCTCTGCTACTTTGTGCACTAAATTTGGAGTCTCCCAAGGTTTACCCTGCAACCCAACGAACTTCAACAAGCATTAAACCCTAAAAAGACACACATTACATGGTCATTGTGTTGTAAGACTGTGGGAGCTGCAGTGTGACTGGCTTTCTTGCACTCATTTGGGGATAGAACCTGGGAAAAATTGGTGGTGCCTGTTAGGTCTGCGCTACATACAATATATATATATTTTCTGTTATAATTAAGTAGTACTCTGTCCACCCAGCAGGTGGCATTCTAGTGTACACATTTCTTGCCATATAAGAAAAACTGCTCTACCTCAGCTGTCAGCCTAGCCGGCCATGGTCTTTGGTCACCAATCATTCCCCAGTCTGTTGTTTTCCATAAGATAAGGGCATCAAAAAGCAGATCTCACACAAACCATTGAAGTAAATATATATATATATATATATATATATATATATATATTAAACCCTCTCTAAATAAAGGTGTATTGTTGGTGCTAAATTCTGTTTTAAACCAAGTTTCACTCAGCATGTTTAATGTACTGGAGTGCATATTCCATTTGAACTCCAGGCAGATAGTAACCAAATGAATGCAGCCCTGTATTCATTAATATAACATTATATGTATTTTTATAAGCAAGCAGTCCAACTTCCTGGATAAGACTTGGTACCAAACTCTTGCAGACCCAAGAGCACAGACTGGGAAAGGGAGGAACAGCACATGTAGCCAATCAGTTCATGTGCTGACAAGCATGCTGATAGGAGGAAAAAGCAAAGAGATAGTGATTGTAAGCTCCAAGGAGCTCTCGTGTATCACACTGTATTGTTATTGTACTGTCTCATGTATTGTCCCCGATTGTAATGTACAGCGCTGAGTGAACTGTTGGCGCTACAGTGAGGATCGAAAGTTTGGGCACCCCAGCTAAAAATTTGTATTAATGTGCATAAAGAAGCCAAGGAAAGATGGAAAAATCTCCAAAAGGCATCAAATTACAGATTAGACATTCTTATAATATGTCAACAAAAGTTAGATTTTATTTCCATCATTTACACTTTCAAAATAACAGAAAACAAAAAAATGGCGTCTGTAAACGTTTGGGCACCCTGCAGAGTTAATATCTTGTACTGCCCCCTTTGCCAAGTATCACAGCTTGTAAATGCTTTTTGTAGCCAGCCAAGAGTCTTTCAATTCTTGTTTGAGGTATCTTTGCCCATTCTTCCTTACAAAGGTCTTCCAGTTCTTTGAGATTTCTGGGCTGTCTGTCACGCACTGCTCTTTTAAGGTCTATCCATAGATTTTCAATTATGTTGAGGTCAGGAGATTGTGAAGGCCATGGCAAAACCTTCAGTTTACGCCTCTTGATGTAATCCCCCGTGGATTTCGAGGTGTGTTTTAGGATCATTATCCATTTGTAGAAGCCATCCTCTCTTTAACTTCAGCTTTTTCACAGATGGCATCAAGTTACCATCCAAAATTTGCTGAAATTTTATTGAATCCATTTTCCTTCTATTCGTGAGATGTTCCCTGTGCCACTGGCTGCAACACAACCCCAAAGCATGATTGATCCAACCCCATGCTTAAGAGTTGGACAGAGGTTCTTTTCATTAAATTCTGTGCCCCTTCTTCTCCAAACGTACCTTTGCTCATTGCGGCCAAAAAGTTCAATTTTAACCTCATCGGTCCACAGAACTTGTTTCCAAAATGCATCAGGCTTGTCTATATGTTCATTTGCAAAGTTCAAACGATGATTTTTGTGGTGAGGACGTAGAAGAGGTTTTCTTCTGATGACTCTTCCATGAAGACCATATTTGTACAAGTATCTCTTTATAGTGG